CTCTCAGACCAGGCTATAAATATCAGTCCTCCCACTGAGTCCCCAGGTTAAAAAATGGCATCATGTCAGATTTGTGCACAAGAACAAATAGCTACATCCTGAGCAAGACGTTGCCACTTCAAAAAGGGAGAAGCGAGAGACAGAGACGAGCCACAGTCCTGTGGAAGTGAGACAAGAACTGGGCAGTTTCACCAAACAAGACTCAAGTAAACCGTCGACAAAGAAAAAGGCCAAACCATCAATTTGTATCCCTCCAGCGAAATTTCTCTAGAAACTTCCCTCCCTGATAGAATCTCATACTACACACTCAATGAAACAAAACTCGCAGCAACGAGTGCACAACCAATAAAAAACATTATGCCATCTAGCCAGCTCTGGATCACACGTCAGCTGACGATTATGTATACGTGATAACAGAAAATCTAATGATGCCTCAAGATCTTGCAGGCGACACACCACCCACTTTATCGGAGTGAGAATGGAGCATGACGACTGGCACAGAGATGGAAAAGAGAACTTCTGAAGACTCCAAAATCCCATTCCTACATGTGCATCCGCTCCTGTTGATATTCAAACCACCAGTACTTCCCAAAGTTCTGCCCGTTAACAAGCCACAATTTTAGGAAACGTAAGGGCCCACTTCAGGACCGCCCAAATTCATCCGACTAGAAAAGTTTCCAGTACTTTCTACTCTATTTTTTCCTGCAGCTGGTGGGGGCATGAAGAATTGAAGCGGTTGAACGGTCGTCTTTTGACTCCCCCAAAACACACTAGATAACGGCCTAGGATATATAATCACTGCAGACTCGCGTCCGAAATGCCAGTGCAGCACGACATGCTATAAAATCACTGCATACTGATCTGAACAAGAGCAGACTCGCGCACAAACATTGCCCGGAATATAATCACTATAGACTCGCACACCAAACATGTACCACATGATCCGATGTAGTGACAATATTACCATAGCAGTAACCATCAGCCAGCCCATCTGTCCAGATGGTGCACCCACGTAACTGTTCACCAACAGGTCGTGAGTTCGAATCCGCATGGAATCAGACTGATACAAGTAGGTTAGAGATGGTACCCATCACGGGTTTTCAGATGCACTACGAGTTGAGACCATCTTGTGTTTATAAAAATACACTACCAATGTCGTAACTGCCCCACCGAATCGGTTCACATCGTCCATATGAACAAACAATTGTACAATACCAACCTAGCACACGAGGCTGAATTGTACACCCACGAACTGTTGATACGCAGACCTTCATTCAAATCCAGGTGGAGTCAGACGACTCTGCATTACCTGCGGGCTGGTCAGCTGGATGATGGTAAGGAAAAATTAGGCAGTAATCATGCTCCCCCCTACCAGAGTGGTGACCATGGCCACTATAAGGATACACTACCGAAGTGATAGCCATCCTGGCAAGGTGATGAATATCATAAACTGAAAAAAGGAAAACAAAAAAAAGGGCGAAGCTAGAGAGTCCTGTAATCCAAGTGATTTAGATTTATGATGGCTGGACGTTGATCAATCACACAGCCAGACTCGCAATGCTGTGAAGTGTGCAGCCAGACTTGCAACACACAGGTACAGTTTAATTCAATGCGAGACACCTAATGATGCCCAGCATTCCACAACTCTGTTGCGCTCAGGGTGCAGCAGAGAGGTACCGTAATAAAGAGCCCTAAACCCATTAGACCATGTTTGACAGGCAGGTTGCTGCCGATACTTTCATGCCCGTCAACACACGACATGCAGATGCAGAATGGCATCATGTAACCAAATCCTAAAAACTAGACACATCACCGAAACGAGACACTACAAAACAGGAAAAAAGCGCTACAGGCCACAATGGCCACATTATCTCCTGCATTGTGCACCTACTCTCTCTCTCTCTCTCTCTCTCTATACACATCTAGATGTGTATAAGAGACAGGCAATGTTCACAGCCTGGAACAGCAGCTTTTGGTCCACTGACTAAGGGAGAGAGGGAGAGACAGAAACGGCAGCCCTCCGTCATGCAGGGCAGATTGACATTCACAGTTTAGAAATTGCATTCCCAGCTCGGGAGATAGCGACCTGTGTATGTGGGATTGGGGGGGGGGGG